GGGATTCATGTTGCGGGTTCGGTATTCTGTAAGAATGATGTCATCTACGAACCTTGTGCGGGTCTCCAGGCGAGGTAGCTGAGGTATCCAAGGCAGGGGACAAGGGAGAGTGGTCGGTTATTCCAGGCAGGGTCATGTCCAGGTAGTAGGCAAGAGGAGAGGCAAACAAATCTGATAGGGGAGAGGCAAGAGTGAGAAATCCAAAATCTAGACAAAAGAGGCGACGTTGAGGGAGTCCAGATCAGGTTGGAAAAGGTACTGAGGAGGAATGGGTGAGGTGAGCTCAGGAGGTGGAAGAGATCCTAATACCAAGCAATGTAACTGGGTGAACTGAGGGTTGCAATAGTGAAGGAAGGGGTGTGTAAGGGAAATTGGATAATGAGGGCTTGATTGAGACCAGCTGCAGCAGTAACATATAGTGATTTTCATTCCGGAAGAACTCCAAGCGCTTTAATGGGTAAGCGCTTAAGTTGGAACTTTTTTTAAGTAAGCCCGTTTGGACCAAACCAGAGTGGAATTTAGCTAGGGCACAGGCAACACCACCCTCTCATACTTTTTGGAAAGATATAAAGTATAATTCCATTTTTTGGGGAGGAAATTAAGGCCACATTGAGCTTGTTACATAAAGTGATGCCTCTATCTGGCTATAAGATTATGAAAAAATTAACATTTCTCAATAAAACAATTTGCATTCTCCATATATAAACAAACAGGTAAAAACATATATTTCATATATTTGTAAAATAAAATTAAATGAATGCCATAAAGAATTTTGTTTTTCATACAAGGTGCTCAGGTGAAAAAAAACACAGACATACTGTATCATCACACTTCAGATTGAGCAACTTTGCCTGAGAGCCTGGGATTTGCTTAAAATAAGATGCATAAGACAGAGAAGATCAGTCAGCAGCACAGTTCTGAGAAACTGATGGCCTTTAAGATTGCCGCTCCTACAGTATGTGATGGCACCCGAGGCAGGTCTTTGAGAGACAACAGCTGTCAAGTTTGAGCGCCGGTGGCTGTCTGCCAACACAAAGTTTCAGAGCACAAGGTGAGCAAAACTCCCAATCTGACACCATTGTAAAATTGCACTTACAACTTCTGTGGCTTCATCAGAAACTGAATGTTTGCTTAAAGGAAAAGACACCTCTCAGGATGACCTGGTGGAATAATTAAAATAAATGTTGGCGTATGTGTCTACATATTAGCTTAGCAATCAAACCCCACTACCAACTCTCTCCATCACACAGTTCCTCACCAACAGATCAGCCTATAAACCATTGATTTCCTGTTTAAGGAAGGCTGGTGGTTCCGCTGCTGACAAGATGAGGAAGACCAAGATGTGTAGGAGATTAAGTATGCATCATGTTCTGCTGCTTCAGGTAGTATAAGCCATAGCCCATTTTCAAAAATAAACCAAGAGCATGCAGGAATCAGGAGAGTGTGAGCAGGGAGCACAGTGTGGGCAGCAAGCAGGGGACAGCAGGTGAAACTCAGCCGGTAGGCTGAATCCAAAGCAGATGATTTTCAAAGCTGGGAAGTTAATGAAGAGCAGCAGAAAGGCTCAGCGGATGTGAGCCTGGCCAGAACCTGGTTGGAGGAGACCTCCTGGGAAAGCTAAGGTTGCTGCTGGAAGAGGTGTTAGTGGGACCTGTAGGGAGCACTCACCTCACGGTCTGTGTACTGTAGGTCCTAATGCCCCAGTATAGTGACGAGGACTCTTTACTGAAAAAAGAAGGTCCTGAGGTCCTGACTCTCTTTGGTCATTAAAAATCCCAGGATATTTCTCAAAAAGAGTTGGCTTGTTACCCTGGTGTCCAGGACAAATTTCACCCTGGTCTTTACCAATCAGGCCTCCCAATAATCCCCATCTATGAATCACTGTTCTCCTTTTCACTGATAGCTGTTGTGTTGCGAGCGTAATAGCGCACTATGCCTGTAGTCGCATTATCCAGTTGGGGCTGCACACTGGTTTTGGTGGAGTATAGTCCTCATTACCTGTAAAGTGCTTTGAGTGGAGTGTCCAGACAAGTTCTACAATATATAAGTGTAAGGATTTTTTATTTATAAGCACTTAAGGTTACTGATACAGTTCAATCTTCTCACTGCCAGAGGGCACCTCATGCACTGGCTACTGGCACAGCAGAGGCAAAGACCACGCAGACAGCTGTATCAAGCTTGAGCCAGTCACAAACTGACCAGGGCTCCCTGCTTCAGCTCCATATAAACTGTGCTCTTATTCCACTCAGTGCTCAGGCTCCTACACGTCTGGTTAGTGTCACGTCCTCCACATCGTCCTGTTCCTTGTTTCTCTGTGCTGTACTTGTTCTTCCGGTGTGTCTTGTTGTCTGGGGCTATGTATTTCTGGGTCTCCCTTTCCTCCTCGCTCGGCATTGGGATCGGTTGTCGAGAGGCTCGCCTCACCAGGTCCCCAACGTCCGCTACCTGAGGGCTTATGTCTCGTTCCGACTCCGCCCAATACCTTGAGCCCAGAGCAAACCCTCTTGTTTGCTCCATTCCTGCTTCTACGCATAGGGTCCTCCCATCTCGCCGGTCTCTCTCCACGGCTAGCCACGGCTTCTGTGACAGTTACAGCTCTGGACCTTTACCTTCCTGGCTTTTCTTGAACCTAGTATCCTTTTCTTGTTCTTTCTGTCCATTGTTTTCTCCTGGTTACTTACTGTTTCCTTTCTTCTGCTTCGTGTGTTGGATGTCTCCTTGAATTGCCTTCCTAGTTCCTGAATTTGGCCTTCTCCTGGACTTTGATTGTGGATTTTGTGTTATAGTGTTCTTTTAGTGATCCCTGTCTGTTGGTACCTGCACAGAGTCTATTCCCCTCCTCACTTGAACTGTCTAGCCTGCCACTAACAGGTATGGTAAAACTATAACCTTTCCCCTTAACTATTAAGCCATGACCAATCCAGTAAATCTAAGCAAACGTCCGAAATTCACCCCTCCACTGGTTCAGTTGCAGAACCTGCTACTTCCTGTGTCTGTATATCTCTGGAAGACACTTCTGCCCATACTCATTGCTTTTATACCCAGAGGACTGCAGATATTGTCTTCTGTCTTACCTCACAGCCATAACAGCAGTTTAAAACTCAGTTGAGAAAACCTGTGCTGTAGCAACATGTGCATGTGAGAAGAATGGGGAGGGTTGAATTCCCATGTGCAGTCTTGCTCTCTTAGGTATTTTTGGACACCAGTCTCTGGTTGCTACTTCTTGCCAAGATGTGGCTCCTTGAGGTTTGTTCCACAATCTGATTTTAGTTGTTTCATGAATCCACAAATGGCAGAGAACCTCCTCGTTGCGCTGATGCAGCTCAATGTGCACTGCCTGAGTGCTCGTGCACGTGAACAGCACTGCCCAGCGCTCACTGTAAGCTTGCCATCCTCTGGTGTGGTGTGCAGAATCTGCCCAAGGGCCAATGACATTCTAACCAACGTCTGTAACAGGTGGGGACATGCCGGGTCGTTTGGGCGGAAGGCCTTCCATTTTCTGTTCTTCCCTTTTGCTACATTGATTCCTACACATGACACATTTGTGAAGGACAGAACTGATGAACCTCTTACCAGAACCTACCTGTCACGGATGTCGGAAGGGACGAACCGTGGAATGGCAGGAGAGCGAAAATAGACCCTATGTGTAGCAGCAAGATGGGGTTTACCCAGGCTCAGCTGCTCAGGAAATGCTGTATAGAAACCTATTCCCTCAGGCCATGGACAGGAGTGACCTGGTGCTAGGCGGGTCTCAGGACATCTGAATCAATGCTGAGCGAGGAGCAGAGCAGAAGCAGGAAGTAAATAGACTACACAACAAGACACACCAGAAAGACATGAATAATCACAGGGAACTAGGAACAGGAGAGAAGTAGAGTGCCGTCTAGGTGTACTGGGCGTGACACTATCAACAGCCTTCTTACGGGATACTCTTATGGCTCGCTCAGTAAAGTGATGACCTTCATGTCTGACTCATTCATGGTAGTGTCTTACAAGCACTGTGAAAATGTGGTGTCGCTAAGTGTCACTGCAATGAGGGTCTACCCCGAAGAGTAGGCTGCAAGGCAGGGCAACACCCTGGACAGGACACCAGTTTATAACACTGTCATGATCGCTACTCTCTCTATTTAGGGCGCTCCAGCCCTTCCTCATTTTCCCCCATTGTTTACACCTGTTCCTTTGCCCAACCCCTCTTTAGTTCCACCTTTAAAGCCAGACGCAGGCGTTTGCCCGAGGCTTCTCATTGAATCCCGTTTCGTGACAACCCAGAGTCCTGCCGCATCTGGCTCCGTCATGGTTTTAGTTTCCTGTTCCTGATTCCCTGCCCCGCCGGTTCTGACCCGGTTCGTGTTTTTAGTTCCTTTGGATGGATTCCCTGGTTTTGGACTCTGCCTCCCATCTTGGATCCCCCCTTTAGATATACCCTTGGATTGTTCGCCTTGGATTCACTCCCCCTGGACACCTGCACTCTTCATGCCCCCCGTCTCCAGACCCTTCTCCTGCATGACTACTTTCCTTATTGTATCCTCACTATTCCAGATCGTGTTGTCCGCATAGGGCCCGGAAATAACTGATCGTTACAAACACGCACACAGACAGTAACACATTCAAAACACCACTCCAGGCAGAATGTTTTGGTTAGCTAGGAGGAAAACTGAGCACCCAGAGAAAACACACATGGACATGGGGTGATCATGCAAACTCAAAGGAGCCCCATTCCAGAATCAAACCCTGGACAATGATCACATCAGGGTTTTTGTCCTTGATTGGTTATCCTAGACTCAGTCTATTTGTTTCTGGACAAGGTCTGTGCTGTTGAGAGGAATACTGGAAAGGGAACTATTTTACATGTTTTGTTTGTTCATTCATATGCCAGCTGAAAATCCATTTCTCTCTAAACCTCAGAACGTGTGCCCTATGGATCAAGATTTCCTTTAGCTGTGGCAAAGCCACCTCTTATGTTGTGCTGAGAAATCAAAATTAAATACAAAGATGCGATAACTAACCAGCCAAATATTTTATTGATGCTGCTGAAATACAATATACAGTATATCAGAGTCAGATTAAGCATCCAAAAGAAAGAATTCAATACGTCATACTTCAAAATTGTGAAAATTCAGCATTTCATTAAAAGTAAGAGGTAAAGAAAAGGATTTCTACCACAAGATACTCAAAAAAATACTTTTGAATATATATTTCAGATAAATGGTATGCTGCAAAAGAGCAGAGTATGAAAAGCCCAAAGCATTAATTGCATCATTTTTAGCAATTACCTATAATGTATTCTGAAAAATACTCTTCATACAGGTCTCGGCCTGAGCTACTTTGAGAGGTCAAGGATTTCTTCCTTTATTCCCACTTTGGAGACTGAAGCTCCAATCCATCTTCCAGTAATAGTGGTTTCATATCCAAAGACTGTGATCACCTTCGCTGTATAAGGAACATCCAGGGTTCCCTTCTGAACAACAGCCTTGAATCTCACTGCCTTCCCAGGGGGCACCGTGGCGGTCAAGGTAGATGATTCTACAACCTTCAGAGACAAAACAGCAAAACATATTGCTATTTTGGAAATTGAATTACCAAGACATTGGGGAAAAACAATTTTAACATGTTATCAGCAGCAGTGATCTACAGATGCAGCCATTCAAAATGGGTGAGGTATTTCGCGGCATACCCCGGTGGGCGTGTCGCAGTATCACGCAGTTCACGTGTGTCACGTGGTTAACTATCCGGCGTCGCCTTGTTAAACCGCCAGGGGGAGCTTAACCTCTCATGTACAGCATTTGAGCCTTTAATTTTGAA